GCCAAGGTTGTTTTTCCCCAGTGAAAGAGATCAGTCCTTTGGCAACTTGTTACAAGGTTAGTTACCCATGCAAATAGACACAGAGCCCAGTAATTGTCCCGTTCCCTGTCCCTGCTAGCACGGGTCATCACCAGTACAGAAACATTCAGGTCACTGGCCAGGCCTTTCATTTCAAAGTGAAAAGGAGAAGCAATAAAGCTCAAACTTGGTACTGTAGCTTCTCTCACAAGATGATGCTAACAGATGAGCATAAATAGAAAACTGTGCATCCGCATGTAATTATCATGCTAAGAATTCTGATAAAAGTTATGTCCCTTTCCTCCAACTCACATATACATACTACATGGCATACAATTTTAGGGAGTCAGTGAGTTTCTCATGATCCTCACTATGGGACTCTGCACACCCTATGGTTCAAGGTCCTTCTTCAAGAAGACGTACTTTTTTTTTTTTGCATTATTTTTTATTGAAGTATGGTCAGTTTATTATGTCGTGTCAATTTCTGGTGTACAGCGTGTTTCAGTCATACACATACATATATTCATTTTCATATTCTTTTTCATGATAGGCTACTACAAGATACAGAATTTATACTTCAACAAAAAAAGAATGCAAAATAAATAAATAAATACATACACACATAAATAAATAAAAACTTAAAAAAAGATGTGCCCATACAGTGACATGCACAGATATTTATTTATTCAGTCAACACACACTAAATGAGCCAGGCCCTGAGCTATGTTTTGTACTTAGAACCAAGATTAAGTAAGACAGAGGTTTTCACAAGGCTTTTCAACAATGTCAACAGTTTGGTTGACATTTTCTCTCTAACTACATACATTACAACCACACACACACGTGTACTGATATTAGGTAGATCAATAGAATGTAGATTTCCTTTTTACTATTTCAATATACTGGGTAGCAGTTTTAATGTATCAGGTGTGTAAAATGTGTGTGCAATTCACACACACACACACGGTATTTAAACAGTAAAATCTTTTTTGTTGTTGTTGTTTAAACAGTAAAATCTTTGTTTCTAGGCTGAGGACCTGTCAGTTTGTCCTCGGTTGGATGCTGGGGCCAATAACAAATGCCACACCCTATAAATATGTTCAAAATGTTCCAATAATACTTCCTGTGATTGACTGTAAGTGACGTTGCTCTTTCCAGCTTGCTTCTCAAGGCAGAGAGATGATACAGGAAAGAATAACACCCTTGTCACGGCTGTAAACTATAACACCCAGATTTCAGAGCTCAGTTGACAGGAAATGTCTGTGTCGCTCACAGACCCTTGTAAAGCAAGAGCTTTCCAGAGTTCACCTGCCCTCAAATATGGAGACTTCAACTGAAACCGAATTAATTATAAAATTGTAATCTAGGGAGATGTGAAATGAGACTAAAAGTAAACTTCAAGTAACACACCCAGATAAGCATTTGCAACTCAACTCACCCCGTGGGGATGAGAAAAATAAGCAAGAAGGGATTTTTTCCTATGTCACATGCTCAATGTGTTGGCTATGAAATGCCTAAACCCATTAAAATTTTTTAAAAAATTACTTGTTCAAAGTTAAAAAATATATATATATATTATTTTGGCATATAGCCTACTAGACGTATGACCTAGAATATAAACAACAGGTACTATATATTTAAATTTTGTACTAAGCAGTAATGAAGGAATGGAGAACCAAGAGGGACCCCAATCACAGAATGGGGAGAGGAATACCATGGAGATACTGGAATTCTTAGAGCAACTGACCAGCCTGGAGTCTGATTTTGATAAATACACTCTCAGTATATTTGCTAATAACTTGCTACACTGACCTCTCTGTGTTCTTGCTTTCCTTCATCCTCCTTTCTGTGTCTTTGACCTGAAGCTATGGTTACTGACTCTTTTGGAGAGAGAGAGAGAGAGACAGACTTACAGAGGAAATATGACACCAAGAAAATCTTTTTTTTTTTGATACTCAGGGCAGGCGTTATGCTTAGATCCTTTATTTCAATGGGTAGGTCTTTTTTTTTTCTGTTATGTTTTGACAGGGATAACTTTTCAAATTAAATCCCTTTATTGAATTTTCACTCTCGGATAGTTTCTGAAGATGCTGCCTTTGCAAAAAAGTGAAATAAAATAAATAAAATTAGAACTGATACATTTCATGCCTTGTGAAAGCTGAGCCTGAGCTGACAGTCCGGCATATCAGCCTTCATGCCTGCAGGGAGCAGGGGAATAGCGCTGGGTGAGAGAAAACGTGTGGATCAGGGAAAGCGATGGCCTTGTTGTTTTCAGGATTCGGGTTATGTGGGTTAGACGCCACAAGCCAGAAAGCAGCAGCATCCCCACAGCTTGAAAATAAAAGCCGTCTGGGATGCTACCAATTCCATGCAGAGCTTCGTAAACAAAGGGTGTAGTCATGGGAGACAGACCCTAAAGCTCTGTCATTAGTTTTTCGGTGTGGGACTTTATTATTGTAAGCGTGTTCCACAGACCAGTGGCATCGGCTTCACCTGGGAGCTTGTTAGGAATGCAGACTCTTGGGCCCCTACTGAATCAGAATCCACATTTTAACAAGATCCCTAGGTGGGTCGGATGCATGTTAAAATTTGAGATGCAATGCTCTAAAATTTTCAGACAACCTAGGAAGTGAGGTTAAGTAGCCAGCTGGTAACTCTGACAACTGGTCAACTATGCATTCATTCATTCAGTAAATATCTATTAAGCTCCATCTACATGTAGACACTGTGGCATGGGCTGGGCATGCAATACTGAACAAAGATATCCTTGATCCCTGCATTCATAGAACTTATTAAAGGCTGGTGCAGAGGAAAAGTTGTAATCAAATAATCATGTAAATGGAATGCAATTTCAAGCTAAGATGAACACAATAAAGAAAAATAATAGAGGTGGATGAAAGCAAACAAAATCGACTGGTTTAAATTCCGAGTTCAAGAAAGACTTCCTTAAGAAATGGATGCTTCCCCTGGTTTTGATAAGGGTTCTGCAGTTATACTGATGTTACTGTTGGGGGAAGCTGGATGAGAGATACAGGGAACTCTGCACCATTTTTTTTTTTTTGCCACATCTGTGTGAGTCTAAAATTATTTAAAAACTAAAAGTTAAAAAGAAAAAAATGGATACTTAACCTGAGACCTGAATGATTCCCCAGGGATGAGTTACACTGAACTGGTTGGGAAGGGGGAAGAAAAAAGGTATTCCAAGCAGAGGAAACAGCAGGTATTAGAATTAGTAGGGAGACACAGAACCTTGCACGCCACGAGAATTGAAAGCAAACCCAAAGGCCTGAAGGCGAGGAATGAGGGGAGCGCAAAGTACAATGAGGAGTCAGGTAAGGTGAGAACTTTGTTCTCTATTATTAGAGCAACGGGAAGTAAAACAAAGCTTTAAACAGACAACATGGCAACTTCCACCTAAGGAAAAGGCTGTTCCAGCTCTTATGTAATGAGAACTGGACCTTGGCACCCAAGATAATAGTATTAGCTCTGGTCACCACCAGAGAGAGCCCGCTAAAGACATGGGAAAGATGCTCTGAACTGTTGAGATTACTCTATGTCCCGAGATTATAAAGGAGAAAGGAGATGGTCAGCTTGGATCCTGGTTTGTCCCCCACTGATTCTGCTGGAGAATATATTCATTACCCCCAAAGGGGAAAGAACACAAAAAATTTCCCAGGGAGTGTTAGTAATGGAGTGGCTGTGGTTTCTGGAGAGTTTGGATGGCAGGTGTGACCAGCTTCTTTAGCTGGAAGCTGGTAAACGATGGGTATTTCCTGCCTTTGCATCAGAAGAGCTGCGGACGAGAAGACAGGCACAGTGTTGGTGATGTTGAAGTTTTCGAATCGTGAGTGGTATTTCTGAAACAGGTCTGAACAATGAGATCATTACTCTCTGGCTCAGTGCTGAACAACGTCCACCAGCCTCACTGCTCAGCTGTAACTGAAGAGTCCATTCTCTTCCTCTTCCCTACACTGGAGATCTCTTTCTTTTTGTCTGGCTTTTCTCTCTTCATCCATTTTCCTTCTGTACTTCCCCCCTTTTCTCTTTTCCTTTATCCCTTTCACCTGCAGCCCATCTTGCACCTAGTAGTGCCCCCATGGGATGCATCTCCCTTCTGGAGATCCTCAGGACCAAAGAAAGGGGAGGAAATTCATGTCATTGTTGTTTAAATGCATTACTTAAGCTTTCTATGCCTTGGTTTCCTCATGTGTAAAATAGGAAAAACGACCTGCAAGTAATTGTGAGGATTAATTGTGATAAAGAAAGTAGAGAAAGCCTTTAGCGTAATTCTTGGTATAGGGTAAGTGCTCAGTAAGTATTAGCTACTACAGGGATCAATATTATTAACTTACTTAATTTACATTGAAGAAACAATGGCATAAAGAGTTTATGTAACTTTTTCAAGATCATACAATTAGTGAGGAGAATTTTCAAGTCATTCAGACATGGGTGTGGATTCTGGACCTGCAACTTTCCTCTCTATATATGCAAAAGCCACAATGTCCCCAAGAAATGCAGCCAACCTAACTAGAGCTGTACAGAACCAGCAACAGACTTTTCCCTTCCACTGCATATGATGGAGACACATGGGATCAATCTGTTTTCCCCATTCTACCCAAGTGCCTTGTGAATCTCCAAATGAGACAGTGAGGCATTGCCTGGATGATTGATTATCTGATAAAATAAGGAAACTGAAAGAAAAGATCAAAACAAAATGGCAGCGACTGCACAATAACAAGTGTTTACTTTAGAAATAGAGAGTTTTGGAATTTTCTCATCACCTGAGAAGAAAAACTCCTTCATTGAATGACAGTTGTCAAGAATTATTAAGATAATTCTAGGTTACTAAGGACCAAAGAAGTCCTCAGGTCCAAACGACTTAGATTATCGCCACTGTGATCTCCCTGAACACGGATGCAGTTCATGGCAGATTAAGAAAACGAGTGTTACTATTAACATTACGGAAAAGTTGATTTACTTACGACCATCCACAGTTCTGGCCTCGAGATGCACAAGATCTGGTTCCTTGTTCAACCCCATCACAGACCTAAACAATGGAAAAACATCAACGTTAATGACGTCCCACGTGCCATAGAGATGCTCAGCTAAGCCCACAGGCGAGTAACACCCACGGGATTCTAAAGCCACAGCCCTTGGAATACAGCTACTGTATTTATTTATATAGCCTGACAGCAAAATTCCCATTTCAAATAAAGATGATAATGAAATCTTTATTTGATGAAGGCCAGGCTTAACTCTGGAAAGGATATCGTGTGTTATTAGCTCAGACTTGCAAATCAGTCCCATGCATGTCATATGTGTCCTCCTGTAACAATCTCACCGACAGTATATTAAACTTGCAAGACTTATCAGGCAGATGCCAGGCAGGCTGCTTCAGCTGGGTGATTTGAACAGTGATTTACATAGCAAACTGATCTAAATTCATTTTTTCATTTGCAATTTGCAGAACTACCTAGTACGCTACCCTATGAACAAAACACATAACGCAACTAATGCAGTGGCCAGAATACCCCAGAGTGACCATCCTTCTCTGTATTACTGAACCTGTATGGCAGGGGAGCAATGCAGATGCACTTAACTTTATGATATGTGCCAGAAACCATATGTGTAAGTAAAACACAAGTCTATTTAGAATGTCTTGAAGGCACATATTATTTAGTCTTATCTTGCAGTGAGCTAAATTAAAGATAAAATAATTATTCTATTATAGAAATAATATGGGCAATTATACTGCATCTCTGAGACTTTCACACAGCAAGATTAATTAAACTCAGGACTGTCTAGAGTTTTTTTCATCAGCATTTGCAGAACTTTCATTTAATCTGTTCCATTTCCATGTGGAAAACAGTAACATGCCTTAACAGTAGTCTCCCTCTGCCTGCCCCGAGCCACCCAGCCCTGCCCTCAAGTCCATTTGAGAAAGGGCAGATGTTACTAGCGCTCATTACGTTCAGAACCCAGTGTGGTACCCAAGACCCATCTTGCTTTTGCCGCCCCATCTCCTGCCACACGGGAAGAGTCACCACTCCCTGAAAACGCCTCCTTCCTTTTGTCAGCCCTCTCTAAACCTCTGTGTGTTTTTTGCTTCAGTCCGAAAAGCCCTTTTCTCCAGTGTCACCTCATCTTCTTTGACTCTTATGTTAAGACACCTCTGAAAAGTCACTCCCTCCATTAATTTTTTCCCAGCAATATTGGGAAAATTGCTCTCTCCCTACCAACAAATATTTCTCCTTTTACATAAATCCTGTAACAGTTTGTTATAAAGAATTACTTTTGTATATTTCCCCTTGTAAAAGCAGCCCCTCCTCCCCTCCCATACCAAACTGAGAGCCCTTGGAGGAGCTTTGTTTCATACACATTATATTCATGTGTATATATGAAAAAAATGTCTGAGCTATAATATAATAGATAATCAAATATTGAAGGAATGAAGGAAGAAAGGAAAGAAAGGAAGGCAGGAAGATAGAGAGAGGGTATCTCATGGTATCCCAGCTCTTTGAAATACGTAAGTTAATCATCATCCTGCGGGCATTCCCAGAAATCTTCTTATTTGAACTCATCTTCCCAACTCAGAGTGTGAAGCCTAGGTTAGCCTAGTCCCTCTTCATCTTAAGAAGTCTCCTTAAGGCCCCTTTATTATCACTGTCAGTAGCTATTCTTTGATTGATACACGGCCTGAAATTCAGAGCCTATGCGTGAAACTCTAAACTCTGCTTTCTTCTTCTCCCGGGAAGCAGAAATGTCCTCACCAGGGTTTTATAATTTCCCCCAAAGAGACAGGGGGCATGCACTTGGATGTATCATCTGGTTAGAACCTGAACATAGGTGGATGGTGACACTTTCACCGTCATTTCAATCAAGCACTGTAGCGACTGCTTGTCCGGGATGGTGGCTCTCTACTTCCCAAATGAAGCATTGATGGGCCTCACAGGTGACCCCGACTGACAAGGCCACAGTCATGAACATTATTAAAAAAAAAAAGACATAGTCCTGACGACCCTCAAACTAGAAAGCTCAGCAGGTAACTGGGTTTGGCAAATTATTAGTAGGTAGTAACATGATGTTCACCTCCCACCCTACCTGCTGCAAGTCTCTTCTTTGAAGTGACTAGTACTTATGATTCCCAGGAGAAGGCTGGCATCCAGACACACACTGCTGCAACTGGCATGCAAACCTAATCTGCTTGGCCTGTGGTTACTGCCAATGGGAGGCAAAATGATTATCTTGCATACACTTGGATCCATCCACGTGTGCATGACCCCAAATCAATAATAGCAGTAGTCTCTTAAGATCTTTTATTATCTCTAAAGGCAGGAACTGTTGTTTCAAGGGACATTTCCCGCTTATCAATTAATGAAAAGACACAGGGTTAAAACAGAGTCCTTAGTCTTTCCGAAGTCTACTGTGGCTAACCGACTCCCTCCCCCCGCCTACAGTCTTTCCCGTGTATAGTACAACAACGCAACAACAACGTCAAACTTCAAAGTCAGACCACAGTGCTTCCAAGCGTTTTTATTTGCTGACGTGCTCGTCCTTCTTCCTGGAGGCCTAAGGCTGCCACTAGATCTGCGGTCGCAGATTATAAAGAATTATCACTGCTTTTACTTTGTGGCACTGGTAAGTTCTCAAGAGCTGAAGCCAAATGATGCTAAATGTCTCAGAGGTGCTGGTTTGAACGGTGCCGTCACTCCTTGCAGAAGTACATCTCCGCAGATGACCTGCAAAGTATCATTTTCTAGCCCATTTATACATTTTAGTTGAAACTGTGATGATTAATGGTTTCGTGTGTGTTTTAAGACCAACTATTGGGCTTCATGATGATGATGATGATGATGATCATGATGATGATGATGATGATGATAAGCGGTTGCCAAGGGCTGGGGGGATGGGGAAATAGGGAAGGAATGGTAAATAGTATACAAACTTTCAGTTATAAGATGAATAAGGTCTGAGGATCTAGTGCATAACACGGTGACAATAATTGATAAAACTGTACTGTACAATTGCAATTTGCTAACACAGTTGAACTTAAGTGTTCTTACACACACAAAAAAAGGTAAATATGTGAGGTGATGGATGTGTTAACTTGATTATGGAAATCCTTTCACAATGTATATGTATATCAAATCATCACGTTGTCCACTTGAAGTATATTATAATCCTAATTGTCAGCTATACTTCAATAAAGCTAAAAAAATACTAAATCAAAGGAGAGCAGCATACACATAAAATTTAATCCAAAATGTTCTCCTGATGGTCGTATTTTTAGAGTGAGATCTTCGGAGTGGCTTCAAGTATCTCAATCCAATCATGTAGGTAACTCTGACTTCAGCTTTGGGCATCTTTGCTTTATGCTTCCAGATTGCCCTGTACACATCCCTGCCATGGTTCATAATGATCTGCTGGATCTCTCTGCATAAATGCTGCTCTTCCTTCACCGAGCTCCCCAAAGGCAGGTGCTGTTCCATTTTTTTTTTAATCACTGCATTCTCTGTGCATATGAGAGTGGAGAAAAGAATATTGCCTCAATAAATATGTAGAAAATTTTACACTGGTCAATACTTAGTATAAAATTCAATATATTGGATTGCTCAATTCTGGGACTCAGAAAGAATCTCTCTATAAAAGTGAGAAGGAAAATTTGGGACCAGATCCTTTAATCATACAAAAAGAAAATAGGTGGCTGTATCTTGTGTATCTTTATATTGCCTTTACGACTAATTGGGAAAATGAATTCCCTTCTTGAGCTGAATTTCACGGAAGGAAAGGAACATTTTTATGTTCTGTATGTACTGGGGCCTCTGCCTGGAGTAACCTCTTACCCTTCCTCTGCCTTCTTAATTCTTACAGTCTGTGGCTCAAACACAGATGAGTGAAGCTGAAAACAGTCTTCTCAGTGGGGATGCCACTTAAGCTAAGTTGGTTTTCCCTTCTGAGACTTCCAGAACGGTGCACGTACTTTTGCATAGCATATATCAGACCATATTTCAAGTGTGACTCATCTGTCTATCCCTCTTATTAACAGCCAAGCTCAAGCCTTCCTGTATTTCTGTGTCAGGTACTGTGGATGGCACATATATTTATTCAACGTGAGTTTTATTGAATGCTTTTGGAGAAGTACGTGATCAGCCACATTAGCATTTATCAATGTATCTGTATGCAACATTGGGTAAGTTACTTAACATCTCTGTGCTTTTATTTTATTTTTTAAGGATAAAATGAGACTAAAATAAGTTTTCCTAGAATATACATCTTAAAGCACCTAGCATTTTCCTGGCACACAGCAAGGGCTCAGGTATAAAGCTGACTTCTTTCTTCTCTTCTTTCCCTTTCTTACTGAGGAAGGTAGGTGGGGAATATTCATCCTTACAGGAAAATTAAAATTAATGTTGGTAATAAAAGCTTCTTGGGATATTATGGGTATCCCATTAGCAGAAATGATTTATCATCATAAATCAACAGACCAAATAAGAGTCAGTAGCTCTGAGATCAACTATATGGATAAATAAAATCACTTATTTGTTCAGTGAAACATTCCAATGTTCTATTATATAATAAAAACAAGGGCTACAGATTCCCTGCACATACAAGCTTTTTTTTTTCTCTCAAATTTAAAAAATTTTAAATTTATTTTTCTTGGGGAAGGGGATTAGGTTTATTTATTTATTTTTATATTTTATTTTACTGCTTTTTAAAATGGAGGTACTGGGGATTGAACCCAGGACCTTGTATAAGCTAAGCACACACTCTACCACTGAGCTACACCTTCCTGCCCCAAAACCCCATACGAGCTTTAGAGCAATGGAGGAGACAGTGATCCAATGAAACAAGGATTCTAATATTCTAGGTGGTATCTGAAAACACAGCAGAAATGAGGGTCCAGGAAGACTTTAGAGTAGATGCATTGAATCTTAAAGGATACGCAATAGTTTGATCGATGGACAGACAGGGTGGAAGAACATTCTCTTCGGAGATAAAGATCAAGTAAAAAGGACAGAGACAGGATGATCTATACAGGCATTTACT